TTTGAGATGGCAAGGTTGGCACAGGATAGAATGGCGTTTAGGGCTCTTGTACACAGGGTCGCTATGAGTTGCAAGTGACTTGACGGCACATAACAACAACAACAACCCCTTGTTGAAGTCTAGTGGCCCTAATGAGTAAGGAGTTGCACTGCCAACTGAAAGTCTGGTTGTTTGGATGCACCATTTGCTCCGTGGGAGAAAGATGGGCAATCTCCTCCTATGCATATTGTTGTGTTGTTGTTATGTGCTGTTAAGTCTCCTGCCATCCATAGCAACCCTATGTACAGCGCTTTGAACCCCGCTCTGTCCTGAGCCAGTCTCATGAATTCCGACACACCAACCCCCATTGCCCCAGTTTCTGTATCAAAACATCTCATTCAGGGTCTTCCTCTCCTGAGTTTCCCTCCACCTTTCCAAGCATGATGTCCTTCTCCAAAGATCTGTCCCTTCTTGCCATGAGCCCAAAGTATATGAGATGATGCTTCAAAATCCCAGCCTCCAAGGAGAAACTTGGTTTCACCCTCTCCAAGACAGACCCATTTGTTTTCTTGGCAGTCCATGGTATGTTCAAAACCCTTTAGCACCACAGCTCGAAGGCATCAATTCTTCTTCTGTCATCCTTAGTCACTGTCCAGATCTCTGATGCATAGCAAGTAACTGTGAAGACCAAGACCTGCATAGGCTTCTGAAAATGTTACCCTGTAGTTTCTTTTTCTTTGTCACAAAAAAAGAAGACTTCAGCATGAAATCTTGTTGGAAAAGGAGGAAAAAAAGATCATGAACATTCTCTGGGGATTTCACTAACCCAAACCCTGGGACCACCTCAAATCCTATCAGCTCTGACCACCTAGACAGGCTAATCTTGCCTCAACTGAGTTGATTCTGAACGCTGATTCAAGTCTCGGTAAACCATATTGAAGAGGAAATACCCATAATGCTGAGTCAGCTTAAAAAAGAAGATGGAACTCGGAGGTGTAACAGAGATACAAGAACAAAGAAAGCTTCAGACCTAGAACACACCAGTAAATGTTTCTTTTTCTTTGGTCTCAAGAGGTTAAGGCAGCTAAGAAAACCAACTTGTGGGCTTACATCTTGCTTGCCCATAAATTAAAATGGAGATGGTGGTAATATGCTATATCTTTCTGACAGCAAATGAAATAACTTCCTCTAGAATTGGGATATTGCTTATGATCCTTTTCACATACTATTGCATTCACATAAATGTGCAGCAAACTCTGCTGTACTTTACTAAGAACAGCAATAACTAGGCTTGCTACTTGCCAGACTCTATGGATGCTCAATACAAGGCTGGGTTTGGAACTATAGCAATCTGACCCCAGTAACCATACCCATATCCGTTGTATAGCCTCTATAGCTATTCCATTTGCATCCATCTGTAAGGCACAAACTGTTGCTACAGAGGGAAATGAGGCAATATAGCAAAAGTCCGGACAGAAACACAAACAGGGTTGTGTAATGTGGTCTATTGGCCTGTGGCACTTTGAGCAAAAAGGGAGGTAGCCCTGATGGTCTCTCCTGCCAAATACTGGCTGCTGGTGCTACACAACGTCTGGACACAGGCCATGGCTGCTGGGAGCTGTCCTTCGACATCAAAAGACAGCTTTCAAAAGCCAGGGGGAAATAGGTGCCCATCAACCTGTCGGTTTGACGCTATCTTGCAACATGGAACAGATCGCTTTCAACTCAAGCCAGCAGTCATGGCTGCCACTTCGTGAGCTGGGCCTTTACTCTCTGAGGCTGTCTGAGCTGGAAAGGGACCACTTGGGCTGCCCGTGCCTGTGCACAGGCCGAGGCATGAAAGCGAAGTACAGTCTTATCAGAGATCAGCTTGCTTCCTAGAAATGGATTTTTGGAAAAATCCATGGAAAAGAAAGCAGTTTAGAAAAGTCCTTCGAATCAATTGGATGCAAAATAGAGTTTTGATAAATATTCTGTTCAAGGTTCAAATGTCAAATTCTTCAGTTATCCTTTTTTCCCCTAAAGTCCTTTGTAATAAAATTTCATGATTAAAAATACATTTTAATCAGCTTTAAAAAAATAATCATTAAGAATTAAGAGCTTCTAAATCCCTTGCGTAGTGTCATCTCTGTTCTAGGAAACACTCCAGGGAGACAGCAGGTCTTTGCAGCTGTCAGTTCAATGTATAAAATGAACTGTTTTAGATGTCTCCTTTCAACTCCACCTGACTTCAAAGTCAGGTAGGTGCAAACCTTGCAATCCCTATGTATGACTAGGCAAAGACTTAGTAACCCTATTGTATGATATTCCTGCTTGTGGCATGGATAACTTGAGCAATGGCTTGCTTCATGATTTATGAAATGGTATGAAAATGCCAGTAATTTAGAGTTATAAGGTATTCTTAGACCTGTCTTTTGGCAAGAAACTCAGAAGGTGAGACTAAAGATAACAACACCATGCTTTCATCTCTCCACTCCACTCCTTCCACTCTACTCCACTCCCTCCACACCCTTTGCTCCGCTCCACTCCACTGCACTGCACACCCTTTCACTCTACTCGACTCCACACCCTCCACTCCCTCTACACCCCCCACTCCACTCCCTCCACGCCTCTCCACTCCACTCCCTCTACTCTACTCCCTCCACACACTCCACTCCACTCCGCTCCACTCCACTCCCTCTACTCTACTGCACTCCACTGCACTCCACTCCACTCCCTCTACTCACTCCACTCCACTGCACTCCACTCCACTCCCTCCACACACTCCACTCCACTCCCTCTACTCCACTCCCTCCACTCCACTCCCTCTACTCTACTCCACTCCCTCTACTCCACTTATTGCCATTGAGTCATTTCTGACCTTCTATATCAGGTTTCCGAGGCTGTAAATCCTGTCATGAACTGACTGCCCATCTTTAACCTGATAAATATGTTTTCAGTTGCCACATTACTGATGAGAAGCATTCTTCTCCAAATACCCTTCAGTTAACAACACTGTGTCTAAATGATTGCAGAAACCATTGATCACTCACTTTCAGAGATGACAATGAGCCTCAAGTGTTTACGATTCAATTGGTACCTCCTAGACCCAGTTCAATACACTTCATCTCAGGTTTTCTAGTAATAACTTCATAGAGAAGAAACCTGACTCAGCTCTGACCATGCTTACACCTTAAATAAACAGTTAATATTCTTTTTAACTCTTTCTCGACAGCTGTAAAAATAGGGCAGAATGCACTGTTGTAGAATGGGACTGTCCTTGGGGTTGGGGAGAGACTGAGTAAGATGGGTTCAATAATGTATACTGCACTGAAACAGAGGAAGAAGAAAACTGTTTAAAAGAGATATGTGACTAGGTATTTCTGTCATCACAGGAGTCTAGAGCGATGGCTACATGGTGGAGGGGACCTGGGGGAGGGTTTGTAAAACAATGAAAGAATCCTTTCTTTTACTTTTCCATAATTTTTGACTCATGTACTTATAACTTGTTAGTCAAATTTGTGTCTTCCAGGTTGCAACACCCCCATGATACATCTTCAAGGATATGAACATGTACGGCCAAGCACAATCAATAAGAGTGCATCTAAATTCCAAAATCAATCTCCATAATAGTCTATGTGTTTCCTACTGCCAAAGGGGCCCCTTTAGAGTAGTGAGAGAAGATCTTCACCCTGAAACCCACAGCGTCCCTTTTCAGCAGGAAGTAGCTAAGAGAATATGCCATCCCCTTTTCCTTATGAATCAGGGTGAAGTCTCTCTCAGGGAGGAGTGATAGGGAATGGCAAAGGACACACCGACAAAGGAGGTTAATCAGAACTGACTTTGACAAGCACTGTGGCAATTGGACAATTAAAACTGACATTTGGATGGCGGGGAAGAAGAACAAACTGGGGAGGAGGGTAGAGAGAATGGTGCGGCAATGAAGGAGTGAAAGCCCAGAATCCCTGTGAATGTTCATTGAAACTAACAAAATTTAATAATAATTTAAAAAAATAGGGCAGAATGAAAACCCTTTAGCCATAAAATTAAGTGCATCATAGATTAGCTGCATGTCAATATTGAGTGTTAGAGCATTTAAGAAGTCCCACTTCAGAAATGTTTTTTTATATAAAATTTTTATTTTATACTGGCTTACTTACAAAGTTCATTTGCATTGTTTTTCACACTGGACCTTTCCCCTTTCCTTTAGCCACTTCAGAAAATCCTGAATGTGATCCCTGGGATACAGGAAAAGTAGTCCTGTTTGAAAAAGGATGCAGGGAATTTAAGCTCACTAGCTCGTCAACAGCCTGTGTTATGCAGATGACACAACCTTGCCTGCTGAAAGTGAGGAGGACTTGAAATGCTTGCTCCAGAAGGTCAGAGACTATAGCCCTCAAATATGGATTACATCTCAACATCAAGAAGACAAAAATCCTCACCAATGGGCAATAAGCATCATCATGCTAGATGGAGAAAAGATTGAAAATGTCTATTATTTCATCTGACTGAAATGAAAAGATGCATTGCATTGGGTAAGTCTATTTGTCAGGGACTTCTCCAAAATACTGAGGAGCAATGAGGCCAGTTTAACGACTAAAGTGGACCTGATCCAGGCCTTGGTTTTTTCAATCATGTGAGAGCTGAACAATGAATAAGGATGACAGAAGAAGATCAAATGCCTTTGAGTTGTCATGGTAGAGAAGAGTACTGAACATCGCACGTACTTCCAAAAGAACAAACAGATATGTCTTGGAGAAAGTACAGCCAGGGTGGTCCTTAGAGGCACGAATAGTGAAACTTCGTCTCACAAAGTTTGAACATGTTATTACCAAGGGCTATTCTTTAGACTAGGACATTGTGCTTGGAAAGGTGGAGGGTCTGCGAAGGAGAGGAAGACCCTCAAGCAGATGGATTAACACAGTGATGGCAGCAACGGGCTTGGGTACGCAGAGATGATGAGGATGACATAGAACAGGCTAGGGTTCAAATCTGAATCTATTGTTCATAGGGTTGCTGTGAGTCACACTCAACTTGATAGCAGGTAACAACAACAGCAACAGCCTGAACTGTGAGCAAGACCAGCTTCAGTCTTAACACGTGCAAGGGGGACATGATTGGAGTGGGCAAAGTAATTAAAGGCATGAAAGAAAGAAAAAAGAGGAATTAGATAAACTATTATAAACATTAAAAAAAATCCGGCTTCCATATTTATATCTTCTCTACTTAACCTGTCCTATTGTCATTAAGTGTCCAGTCAGGCCAATAAGCTGGCCTGTAAAAGGCAGAATCAGAGACCGCAGCTCAAAGGCTAAAGCAGGTGGCAGGAGGGTGAACAAAGCAATCCTGAAGAGTAGTAACTTTCTGGAGATACAACAGTATGTATGGAGCCAATCAAGCCCATTCTTTGATGAAAGTTTTTATCCTAAATAGATTCCTGAACTAGGGTGGGCCCTCAGGGTTCTGTGCTCTCGGAATGCCTGCAGTACACCAGCTCCCCTCTGCTGCCCAAGCATGCTTCTGAGATGCCTACGTTATGGGCTTTGACTAGAAACTTAGCAAGGACTAAGGCTTCTGGTGACCACGTGACCTGTCCGTTAGTGGGTCATAATGCAGTGACCTGCATGTTGCTATGGTGCTGGGACCTCCCTCCTGGCATTTTAAGTATCAGAGGGGTCACCCATGGTAGCCAGGTTTCAACAAAGCTTCTATATGAAGTCCGATTAAGGTGACAGTCCAAAAAAATCTACTTCTGATAATTATCCACTGACCATCTATCTAATCACAAGAAAATATTGGAGGATGAGTTCCCTAGACTTAGGGCACTCAAGGTTCCAAGCAGCCATGACAAGCAACTTGAATGTAGCATGATCATGAAAATGGCAAAAGACAGGTGGTAGTTCGTTGTGTTGGACATGTTGTCAAGCTCACTGCTGAACGCCAAGCCACACAGTCATCCAGTGTCTCAGTTCCTTCTTCAGGGCAGTGAGGACAGAGGTGAAGAAAACAAGACGTGATGACCATGGTGAAGGGTATTGGTGAGTGTTGAGTGTCCGGAGCTACTGTCTAAGGCATTGGTCCAGTGGCCTCTCATACATGCTATGTCAAAACCTTTCACAGTGTCTTGACTCTGAAGGCTGCCCATAACACCCAAGACGTTCCCTCTAATCCCGACCACCCCACGACATCTCTGGATCCCATTGCTAGTACATCACATCTCCAAAGTTAATGACCTGCCCACAGAGTGGCTCCTCCTCCTTCTAACCTCGGCTGTTCTCTTTGTTTCAAATTCTCATTGCTCCCTGTGTGCTTTGGTTTTGTCTTTAGTTCAGCCCTCTAGGTGGTTTATTATGCTTCCTCACCAAATGAAGGTACAAGCATGACAAGGCAAATCATTCTGCTACCCACTCCTGGAGCTTCCCCAAAGTTTGCATTACATTTCTGCCCCCCTCCCGCCTCCCCCTCAATCACATCATTCCATGCTTAAAGGCTTCATCCAATAAGCACACAAGCACAAAGTGAGTGAATGCTCCAGGAGACACCTTGTTGTGACAATGAGCTGGTATGAAAGTGAAAGGACAGACCAAAAACCAGTGACAAGATGTGGTGCAGATGCTGTTAGGTCATGCATGTTCTGTGCGGCATGGCAAGGAATAGAAATTACGTGACATAATGGCCGGATCATGCAATTATTGGCAAAAAAGCTGCGAAGGAGAATATAAAAGTGTGAATACCTGTGTAGATCATAGCTTCCTCCTTCTTTATTTCCTAATATTGGAAAATACAAGAGTAACTCAGGTTAGCTTTAGGACACATAAAACCATTCACAACGTTGTTTTCCATGCACAACATCTAAATCCTAGGAGGAAATATATTGTGTTAAATACAGATGGTACCCCGAGCCCAACAGTTTTTCTACTAGACAGGTTCAAAGTACAGACTGAGCACTAGAAAGAAAAAGGGAAAAGGTTCAAGATAAAAACCTGTAATTATTTATATGAAAAGGGTAGAAATGAGAAAAGGAGGGCAGTTGGTTTTAAAGTGCTAAGAAAAGTACCTCCAGAATTTGAAGGGGTTCTGAGCCCAGGTTTAATTTTGGTTCATTTTTAGACAAGACACTCTACAAAGTGGTCAATAATTATATCCTTAAGGAATAGTCTAAGTGGTGGAGAAAATGAGTTGAAGCTTAAAGAGTCATAACTGACTCCACTTGGTGTATCTTTTCACCATTCTGAGAACTGATCAGACATCACAAAGGAGAGGGGTTTTGTCATCACCAGGAGAAGGCTAAGATTCTTTGGAGGAGAATTATGTGTGATATTTCTAGAGACTCTCATAACCGATTAAGATTTCTGTCCCTAGTAGGTCTTTGTTTGTTTGTGTTTGCAACTCTAGAGGAAAAAGTTAAGAGGGAAGCAGACTATTTGGAAAAGCTTTGAGCCGAGCAGGCTCTGTGATAATAAAAGCTATCTTACAAGCCAGGTTCTCTGTGGGCAATGGATTCCACTAAGGAACAGGCAGTAGTGGAACGATGGCTCAGTGCTCTCAAAGGTCTGACACTGCATGGTGAGGTTCCCACGCATCAAACGCCTTAATGACCCCAAAGCGGAAGTGATGATGGATAGTGATCATCGTTTTGGACAAGAATCCTGACTCTTCAGGTTGCACGACCTGGGGAGATGCCTGGAGACGTTGGCTGTGGGTGTGACCCCCAGAGCCACAATCTGCTGTAGCGATAGGCTCAGAGCGGGGGCTCCTGCCCAGTGCCTGCAAGCCCAGCTCTCCACCATCGGGGTTTACACGTCCCACTGATGCTAGTGTCCATTCCAGCTCTGTTCCTTCTACAGACAACTGGTATTTAGGTTTTAGCAAATATTATGAGGAGAAAATTGGTATTTATGTCACTTGGGCAAGAGCTGAGAGAAAGTGTATGTGTGTAAGCCAGAGAAGTTGGAGCAGACAAGGGAAAGCAGAACACTTCATGCCTGGGGAGGGAATAGCTGACTGAGTCCATGAGGACTTCTAGTACCTATCAGACCCAAAGTTAATAAGCTATTCAAAAAACTTTGGTTTCTCATGCTTGAAATCCTCTTAAATAGACAGAAAAAAACACAAGCCAAAGAAACTGACTTATTTTTGTTATGGGAGTGGGGGCAGGAATCTATGTGCAGAAATAGGGTATTATGTATCCATCCAAAGTTTCTGTGAAAAAGAGGATATTGTTTACTGAGCTTGTGTTTATAATGGTGACAACAATAAAAAGACAAATCTCCAGAACTTTTGTTCCATCTCCAAGAGTGGCTTCTCCCCAGGGGTCAAGGCTGACTGACAGAACAGAAGGACTAGAAGAAAATGCTCATCACATGTTTGGAGAAAATGTAGAGATTACCATTGCGCTTGGTATTGCTGCAGGAGTGTCTCTCGAGTGTATCCCAAACTGTATTTTTTCTATACATAGACAAGTTTTAAAGGCTGAAACCTCTGTCATGTAAAAGAATTTCTTAGGCAATGTAAAAATGAAAAAATAATTTTTTTTCTTCTGTCTCTTACCAACTTCAACACTCTTAGGTCTTGGGTTGCACTGCTTATAACCTTGGCAGCTTCTGAGTTCCATCAACTGTATGTGCAGCTGATTCAAAATACCTCGCTCCACCGTGTGGACTGTGTTTGTGAGCTGCCAGAGGAGAGGTCAGAAACAAAACAAACCCATAAAACTTTTGAGCTCATTTCCAAGCTATTTTATGTTTAACAAACTGAATAAAAGGAAAACACACTGTCTTACCTGATAAGGATCTGTGTTCATATCAAAATACTCCAAAAAGCCAGTAGCAAACTCACAGAAAAGAAAATTGTGTGTCTCATTAACTGTTCGCAAGCACCAATAGGTGTTGTTGTTAGAACTTGTGCAAGCACAGAAGGATCCCACTTTTGGGGGGGAGGGGGAAGAAAAATACAACAAAAAAAGAATGAATAAAACATAGGCATGCTCATACGAACTTTGTAAGCAAACCAATATGAAACAAAAATTTATTTTATTTAAAAACAAAACAAAACATAAGCATGGTCTCCTTTGGAGTGCTTCATTATCTAGACATTTCATGATTCACATTTTCTTTCTTATAAATATTGTGGCAGGGTATTAATGATAACTGCAATTGTTATCCCTCTTGACACACATCTACTGTGATACTGGGAGGTGGGGGGAAAATGGCAATCCATGGTGCTGGGATCCCCGGCTGAAGGTGAGCCTGGGGTACAGGATTCTGCCCTCCCCTCACTCCGCTAGGTAGTGTTTCCAAAGTGGATGGAGAATGGGAAGGGAAAGATCAGAACTTTTGTGTCTCGCCATTTTTAGAATTTTTTTTTAAAGGGACAATTGTACTTAATAAACAGATGTACCTGGTGCCTACACTTGTTCTCTATGTCTACATGTTACAAATGGAACCTTGAAAGACAGGGCCTTCCATAGGGTGGAGTGGTTTGGAGAAGCCTGAGCCTGGCTCGGTAGATTCAGGGGGAGGTTGTCTGAAATCACCGTAGGCAGTCTACAACACTGTGCCATGAGCCAGAGTATCTCTCCTACCACACAGGTGAACTGTTTAACAAGGTAGCTCACTCGCTCGCTCGCTTGTTTAGTCACCTTATGTTCACTGAGCATCTACTATGTGCCAAGGATACAGCATCATGATATTTCTCTTGAGAAATATGAGATCTATTGGTAAAGACAAACATTTTAAATTAAAAAGCGTGTAGTTAACAAAAGTGAAACATTCTATGGAAAAAGAGTACAGCATGCTGAGAGTATGTAGAGATTGAACCTAATTTGAGGTTACAGGAGAATTCTCTATGATGAAGTAAAAAACCAGTTGAAATGTGAATGAGGAATAAAACTCTGTTAGGCAGAGGGCTGTAGAGCCTTTTCAGGCAGAAGGAAAAACATGTAAAAGCTGTGAGGTAGGAGGGAGTTTGGGATGCTTGAGTTAAAGAAAGAAAGAAGTGAAGTGGCCAAAGTAGGGCTTTGTTGGACAGACTAAGGTGGTTTCTCCTCATCTTAAGAAAAAGCAATCATCTAAACAACCAGTTGCTTCTGCATGAACTTGGACTCATGGAGACTCCATGTGTGTTAAGAGTAGAACTGTGCTCTGCAGGAATTTTAATGGCCTATTTTTCAGAAATAGATGACCAGGTCTTTCATCTGAGATGCCCTTGAATGCACAAAGACTTATAACCTTTAGGTTAACAGCTAACCTGCTAACCATTTGCACCACCCAGGTATTCCTCTTTTGCTAAGATAAACTCAAACTCATTGCCATTGAGGTGGAACTAACTCACAACTGACCCTTCAGTAGTTTTCAGAGGCTGCAAATTGCAGGGGAGGAGATTGCCCATCTTTCTTCCACTGCTGGTGGATTTGAACTGCTGGACAAGCATGGTCTTTGGATTAGTAGTGTAACTCCTTAAGGACTAAGTTACCAGAAAGGATGTCATTAATAGACCATTTTGAGTGGTTCTAAGCAGAGTGAATTGGAAAGAGCAAGAAAAGAGTCTGGGAGGCCCTCTTGGGGGTTCTAAGTAGTTGAGGTAAGAAATGGCAGTGGCTTAGGCAAGGTGGTCTGAGGTCAGATAGGCAGTTGGGGAGAAGCAGATAGTGGGGTGAAAGACTTCCATCTGACATGAGCAAATCACACATTTATGTTCCTCAATATTTGATCTTTAATGAGTTTGATCAGTTTGGGAACAATAAATTAATTATTTCCTTCAAACTTGGCTCATTTGAATTTTTTTCTCCCCTGGATTATTGTCTCTCCTTGTCCTTTTTTATATAAGTTCCTTCTCACAAACTTACATTGTGGTTTGAATTTCACTTCTTCAACACAAGCATGGACATGGGCATCAAAAGGCATAAAAATACAAAGCTAGAATTTTAAAATTTTCAGAGATAGGTCTTAGAATCTCCCATCTTCACATTTTGAGATTAGTGAGCATCTCAAAATTCCAGCGAAAAGCTCTGATGTGGATGATCTCAAAGAACTTCTCTGGTCTAAGATTCTCTCTGTAGGGCCCCTGGGTGGCAGAAAAGGGAGGTTGGAGTTTACCCAGAAAAGTCTTATAAGGAAAGGTCTGGTGATTTACTTCCCAAAAGCCAGCCACTGAAAATGCTACAGAGGGCCTGTGGGATGTTTAGTTTGCCAACCCAAAATATTATGCCACACAGTTCTGTCCTGACACATGTGGAGTTGCCTAATCTGGACTGACTTGAGGGTAACTGGTTGTGTTTTAAGGGGTGATAAACCTTGAATCGTATAATGCATCATAAAAATTCAGGATAGTATTTTGACATTACTTCAGGGAATACTGTGTACAACTACCATGGGCATGTTACACAAGCATGAATTTGAAAAGTGGACAATTATTATCATTCCTGATCTCATAATCCAATGTGAACATTAAACAAATTCCATCAGGGTCTTCTCTAAACACAGTGGGAGGCACAGAAGTGAAGGGAGAAAAAGCATGGGGACCCTACATCTGAGGAGGTCTTACTATTTTTTGTCTCATTATTCTACGTTTAGAGAATGACGTTAAAATAAAGTAGGAACAATAATATCTGAGGCAAAACTGTTCATCCATTCATGTAGCTGCAGAGAGAATATTTTAAGTAAGGACTCTGCCTGGTACCGGGCATTGTGCAAAATAAGATTTTATGAAGAAAAACCCAGAGAAAAGTTGGCATTTTAAACAAAATAAGAGCAAAATAATTTTTTTTTTGTAATGTAACATGATTTTACCAGTAAAGAAAACACCAGGACGATTTCCTTTTGGATCTTTCTAGATAACTGGTTTTGTTCCATAAGAGCAAAATAATTTTATTTTTTTTTTGTAATGTAACATGATTTTACCAGTAAAGAAAACACCAGGACGATTTCCTTTTGGATCTTTCTAGATAACTGGTTTTGTTCCAAGTCTAAGTCATGCAGTATGACGCACTGGCCACTTGGTGGCAGTGGGCAGCGTGCGGATGAACTCACAGTTCCAGAAGGGGGCCGTCTGCCAGTGGTTGTTGTCATGCGTGAAGCAGGTGAGACCTGGAAGGCTGCATTCGTCACCCTTTCTCTGCCGTTTCTTTTCCTTCCTCTCCTTCTTCCTCCTGCGGTTCTCCTTGAAAAGCTGAAGTTTGCTGTCCACTTCCTGAGCAGCCTCCCTGTTTAAACAGGAGACATTTTTTGAATGATCGGTCAGACGTCCTCAATTAAAATGTGGCTGCTTCTTCGAAGTTCACATATAGCATGTGATGACTCTGGTTTTTCATCGGCAAACACAAACAGCAATGGCAAAGGGAAACTCACTGACCATGCTAGAAATTTATTAAACCTCGTTGTTATGTACTGTCAAATGGGAACCAACCCATAGCTCCGGTGGGTTTTCAGAGGCAGTTAATTGCACGGGAGGAGACCACCCATCCTTCTCCCTCAGAGAAGCTGGTGGTCTCAAACCGTGTGCCTTTGGGATTGCAGCAGGGCTGTAGTGCAGCTTCTTGCCACTAGGCCACCAGAGCTCCCTGATTAAACCTTAAACATGTCAATTATTTATATTCAAACATTTATTAAAAAATGACAAAATGAGTCGATCCCACTAGCAATACTTGAACAAATCACTTAAAAACCTAGTGGTTAGGACCTATCAGTTACAAAGTCAAGAGCTGGCTGGGCTAGATGGTTTGGATTAGATGGACTCTAAAATTCTTTAATAAAATCTACAAAGTAGGCTGTGGAACGTGGTGAGGAACAACCAACCCTTTTTTGCTTTTATTATTTAAATTTCACATTTCCATTAAGACCCTCCAACTTTGTTGAGGCTCAAATAGAAATCACATTCATATGCCATTTTGATGTTATTTAAAAATATATCTATTTTTGTAACTTGCTGAATTCATATGATTGTGAGCTGCTCTATACAACACACTGATCTAATCAAGTGTCCACATCTCTCAGCCACTCCACACAGGATGTGGGTGCATTGACTAAATAAATACACTTTGTTGCTGAGTTGGCCCTGATGCCTGGCAAACCCATACGTAACAAGATCAAACTGCTGGGATCCACAGGGGTTTCTTGGGCTGATTTTGAGAAGTGGATTCCAAGCCTTTTTTGCTTGGTCTTAGAGCGGAAGTTGTGTTGAAATGTGCAGAGTATCACAGCAGCATATAAACATCCACTGACAGATGAGCGGTGGCGAGGCCTGAGGCCTAGCTCATAAACTCTGGAGAGCACGCATGCAGGGTGAGAGGAGAACTTTACAAGGCTCGGCCCCACAGGACTCTAACAGCATCCCCACTGTTCTGTGGCAAAGTATTTACTTTTACCATCTTCAGTCCTTCAAGACTCTATCTGAAGCACAGCTAGGTCGAACCTAGAAGTCCCTCCAGCCTTTCAGAAATGCCCATAAATAGTCCTCCACTCCCCACCAATTCGGACAACAGAGACACTTACTTGAATGGATGAAGATGGCTTTTTAATTTCTCTTGCTTTTTCACACCTTTCTCTTTATTATAGTAACTGTAGGCAGAAGTGGTGAGACATGAGTCTTGGAATCTTTCACCTTACCAAACAATTCAACTTACATAAAGAAAGGTAAATAGTTGTAGCTATTTTCGTTTAATGGGACTATTTTTCCTTTTAAATTCTGCATAGATACATGGTGTATTTAAATAGTTCTGCATAACTTTTGTTGTTGCTAGGTGTAGTTGAGTACAACTCATAGTGACACTGTGAACGGCCAACCTGAACCCTGCCCTATCCTGTGCCATCCTCACCATCGCTGACACACTAGAGCCTACTGGATAGATGGTTAAAATATCTAACAATGTCAACAATTTATCAAGCTTTTAAATGGTAAGAGACCCTAATGGTAATCTATTTAAAAAACTAGATTTCATCGAGTTGATTTTGACTCATCTCAACCTCTTACGTGTGTCCAAGGAGAACTGTGCCCCACAGAATTTTCAATGGCTCATTTTTCAGAAGCACAAGTTGCCTCTGGGTAGACTCCAACTGACAACCTTGTGGGTGGCAGCCCAATGCATTTGGGGTCTGTGCACTGTCACTGTCTTAGCTTGTACCAAGAGCTTGGGGGACAGACAGCAGGATGGGGGATTACTTACGTCTGCTTGCTGCAGCTACATTCTTCTGGCTTTCGCCTCTTCAGATGTCCCCTCACTTCTCTTAAATTCTTAATTTTATCTTGAAGAGCTTCAATCTGGTAAAGATGTATTTTGAACAAAGGCATTTTAAGAGCAGGACTTCTTACACTGTGTACCTCCCGCCACCCTCCAACTTATTTTCTGTGTTTCATAATGATAATTATCCATCTGAGATGGTAATTAATTTGGAAGCAAACTGGGCCTAGACTATGTCCGCCTCTGTGTCCAATCTAATGTGTTATAAATAAACATGAACAGATGTCTCTTTTATAATTGAGTCGCTTTATCACAGGGATTTTAAAAAGTCATTGAGCCAATCCCCATTTCCTTCTCACCCTCTGTTTTCTTTTCAGCCAGGGCTAGCACTAACCCACTGGAGAAAGAGAAATGCCTTGGCTGGTTTTCTATTTCTTCCACATACTTAACAAGAAGATAGTGTGAGTTTTCAAATAGGCAGGGCTGGAGAGCTGAGTTGAGTTAGGAATATAATTTATATTATAAATGAAATAGAATTATATCATAATATATAATCATATATTGAATTGTTTGGTGGCATCAAATTGACCACGACAGACAAGAACAACAGATATGAATGTTTCCCTATCATTCGCTGTCCTCACCACCTCTGGCCTGCTCAAGCTTATTGTGGTAGTCGCTGAATCAATCCATTTCATTGAGGGGTGGATTGAATTATGTCCCCTCTCAAACATGTGTTAGAATCCTAACTCCTGTATCTGTGGATATAACCCTGTTTGGGACTAGCCATTTCTTTGTTGCCTTCATTAGATCACACTTTGGGTGTGGGTTGAGTGGGTTCTAAATCTAATGACCTCTGAGCTATAAAACAATCAGACACAGAGACCCATATACATGGGCGAAGACAGATATCATGTGAGAATCATCTACAATATGAAGGGCTGGTGGCCTTGTGGTACAAAACTGTGCTGCAATCCCAAAGGCACATGGATTGAATCCACCTGTTGCTCCCCGGGAGAAGGATGGAGAATCTTCTCTCATCCAATTTACCACCTCTGAAAACCTGCTGAAGGGTCACCTATGAGCTGGTTCTGACTCACTGGTGCACTGTACCACCATACCTATAAGGAAAAACTGACTTGGGCAAGACCTTGACTGGGACTTGAAATCGCCAGACTTGTGAAAAAATAAAGTTCTGTCTGTAAATTCCCTCCCGTGTGGTTTAAAGGTCACTAAGACACATGCCAATCACCTCTTTGTCAATGTAGGCCTTATGGTCCTTCCAGGCTCGGGCTGATTGGTACAGTTCTCGCTCGCAATGAATGGTATCATTTGGAAGAATAAAACATCTATAAACAAACAAATTAGAAGTAGTGAGGTGGGGAAAAAAATCAATTATCCTCTACATTATCAATCTGGATTCAAGCAGTAAGGACAGAACTGATCTACAGCCAATGAAAAGTGGGAATGTCCCCTGGCTAAAGATGTGGACAGAGGATGACATCACAGAATGAGCCTCTAAGACAGCTCTGAATATTTTCATCCCTATGAAGAGATGCCACTCCACACTTCAGTTCTGAAAGCTTCAGAAAGCAAATACAGGAAAGGAAAAGAAGTTTCTGAAGTCAAGATGGAAATGGCTTGTTTGAAGAAAATAATTTTCTTTAAAGAGCTTGCCTTGAGAAATCTCATTTAGAAGCAAAGGAGTCTTAGTAAAGACAGCAGGTGAGATGGGAGATGAATGAACAGCACAGGAGAAACAAATGTGGTTTAAATCTCTTACAGTATCACTTTGACAACTCCCAGCACCCAAAATGAATACCCTAAATGACCTTCTTATACCCTTATGAAATTACATGGGAAGCAAAGAGTCAGGGACATACATTTAGAAAGAAAATATTTCTCTGTCAGGAAGATAAGTTGATTTTGGAAGGAATTGAATAACCACATGAATCCATGAAAACTCTGCTGGAATGCCCTCTCTCCCTTGTCTCCTTGACTCAAAGGCCCTCTGTTCTCTCAGGAGTCCCTGTGTAGTGTGAATGGCTGATGTGCTCATTGAAATGTTGAAGGTTCAAAGATACTTAGGAGTAAAGCTGTGTTCTGATGCATACAGGCTCGGTCCACATCAGTATCTCCTTGAAAGCCACTGGGTCTGGGACTGTCTGGAATTAGGACAAGGCAAGTGCTTCTACGTTTTCCCTCTTTTCCCCAAATGACACCATCTTTCTGGAAGCTTCTCTGAGACCCACAGCCCTCCCTTGGGAGTCTGTGTGTCATGGCTGAGGCTACAATTATGCAACTGTTCTGAGCAACAGTGACCACACAGTATGGGAGACTCTCGGCTAGTCCCAGTAATTGTTTCCGTCTATTTTCTAGACTCCCACAAAGCTAACTGCTCATAAAGGCATAAGCTCCCAGGCTTCCAAATCCAGGTGGAACAGAATTACTTGAGCTGGGTCTTGCAGGTGATCAACTTTCATGTGAACTTGACAACCACACATCCAGATCTACCACTGTTCGGACTCGGTGTGTGTTTAATCACCCAGAGTTCTGAATGTGACTGCTTTTAGTAGAGGAGGAAACACCCAGAGTCCTCGTACTTGTGTGTCACCCGGACAGTGGCAGGCAGAGCCACAGCATTGGTGTCCACCGGCATCCCGCCCATGTTCCCACCGCTGGCTGCTCGGAGACCTCCTGGCCCCTTGTGGCCTTCGTCATGCCGCTTGGCGACGGTTCTTGGTTGCAACACTTGCAATTCTTCTTCCTCTAGGTTTATGTCATAGATTTCACCTTCGAATTCAACGGACAAGGAACGAGTCTGCCGCGTATGGACGAACCTGGGCTTGTACTCTGGAAATAAGGGAAGGGAGACCCGTTAATATGGAGGTCGCTGGGGACTACAGATGTTTTTTAATCATCTACTGACTTAAAAGGTGATTTGAGGTCACCCAGCAGCAATGCTGACAATCAGCTTTTACAAGGCTTATAGCCACAACTTGAGATGCGTGGAGTTAGAGTTAATTTCATTGCAATAGGTTTGCCTGGTACATTAATATTGAAGTCTAAGCATGGTTTACAGAGGAAGAGAACAGCCACAGGACATATAAAATTATCTGGGAATGGGCATGTGGTCCATGCTACAATGTTGAGGGACAGCTTAGCCTGGTAGGCAGCTGATGCTGAGAGAGCTGAGTTCTAGCCCTGGCTTTGCCACCACACAATGCTGTGATGGTGCATGCCTCTGGGCCTCGGTTCCTCCACCCTCAGGTTTCGGCAACCTCATACACCCTTTCCTCTTACGGCAGGCTGTGAACATCTGCATTATGTTTTCAGTGGACTCCTAAAGCAGATTATTTGGGCATAATTATGGTGTTATTTGGGTCTCAGTTATGGTGTTATTAATAATAATGATTCATTTACTAAGCATTTGCTATGTATTACTCACTTTATATCTAGTTCCAATTCATAATCTGGAAAGAGACGTATTATTATAACTAATCCTTATGTAAATACTGACTGTCCAAACAGACTCATGAATTTGGCATCATTATCCTCATTTCACAGATGAGAAAACAGAAGCTCAGAACGGTCCATGGATCTTGCAAAGTTACACAGTCATTAGCATGGAGAGTTGGGTCTGTAACCTGCCAGATTCGCATGTCCTTATTTTCTCCACAATAGGGGGCTACTTCTTCATAAAGACATGTGCTCTAGATGCTTTCTAGTTCACAAATAATAAAGGATTGCTCAATAAGGAAAATTACATTTTGCAATGGTTTTCATCAGCTGCTTGATTTTAATACTGACAACTGGTGTGGGAGGAAGTAAGGATGCTTTCCGGCCACCGTGAAACATGACAAAGCGCTCATAGTGGGCCAGAGCAGAACTTTAAAAGTGAAAACTGAGTCCCTCTCATCTGATGAGTTAAGCTGCCTGGGGTGCGTTCACCAAAAGGGGGCCAAGACAGGAAGACAAGAACACCCCAGCTATGAGATCAGAATTGAGCAGTGGTCATGAGTCCCATCAATGTAGGAAAACTACCACTGCTTAAAAGCATGTAAGATTCCACACAGCTTGGAAAAACCACCTCTTTGTGCTCCAACATCTAAAAATCACTGTGCTTTGAGCTGAGGCCTCAGAAAGCAGTGTCTGCTTTTCTAGTAGGGAAGATGGGAGGCCTGGTAGCCTAGTGTGTAGGGAGTTGCGTTGTTAACTCAAAGGTCAAGACTCTTTGGTGGTTCAAATCCATTAGCAGCTCCTCAGGGGAAAACGGAGCAAAATTGCCTCCTGTGAGATTAACCATCTCAGAAACCCAATGGAGGATCCACTATGAACTGGTTCTGACTTGGTGGGAGTGAGTTTGAGTCACTACTTTCAAGCAGAATACTGATAACTGGTTTTGGCAAAGGAGAATGGCAGAGGCCACTGTCGATTTTTTACAACTATTTTTATTTGTGTGAATTCTTAAACTCAACATTTTTCTCTGTGGGAAGGAAGAAATGGTTCTCAGCCATTTGGATTATGAAATGACGAATTTGTTGAAAATTAAGAGGCATTTGGAAAAATGTGCACTTACACATAGAGTATGTTTAAAATGAATCCATCTGTGAAGTCCACTGTAAAAACATTAGTCCCAAGGATGTGAATTACTATATAGAAAAAATTTATTTCTAATTTGGGGTATGGAAAAGCTCTTGAATCCCACCCAGAGGAACCTCGGAAGAACTCAGTGTTCTGCTGAAAGGTCCTAACCTTGAAAACAGGTCACCATGGTCAGAATCAACTCCATAACAACTAATCATGCAGAAATGACCACAAAATAAGTCACTTTTCATAGTCTCCTCTAGATGGCACTACACTCCTATTCTTTCATGAAAGAGTCCAGTCTGGGTTTTCCTATTTCTGTGATTGTCGTCTCTTGCCTGACAGATAACATTTTTATGAAGAGAATGTTAGGCGGGACTTTTCCTAATAAATTTGACTATTCTTACGCTGTATTCCAAGAACAGTCATTTGACAGAATTAAGAAATACAGAGATATCACCCTAAAAGTGATGAAAAATGGACGTCTTTAAAAATGGTTTACGAGTTTCCATCGTGTTAAATGTGCAAGTAGTAAAATCTTGGAATTTGTTTTCTAGCAACTGAAGGCACACAAATCAGGATGTCAACCTGAAGGTAAAATTCAATTGGCTTAAACCATACTCCAGGCAGCTTGGAAAGATCCATTTAAGGCTCTTTTATGTTTATGTTTTGTTTTTCTGTGTCCTGCTTTTACAGAACCCATTTTTCATTCTCTGTGGAAACAAAAACATGTTTACAAGGCAAGTTTTCAAATGCACTTTAGCTTTCTTATTTTAAAACAGCAATCCTTTGCTTTGGGCGTGGAGGCTATTTGCAGGTTAAGTTGTTACATTATGTACCCTTGAGTCAACTCATAGCTGACCCTCCAGTGAATTTTCAGAGGCAGTTAGTTGTACAGAAAGAGATTGCTCACCCATTGGAGCAGCTGGTGGATTTGAACTGTGTTTCTTGTTTCTTTGGGCCGCAGTGCAATTCCTTACCACTTGTTTACTATTGTAAACGTGCCCTGTGTAAATGTGAGGTCCATTCCCCAAGGCCCAGCCCGGGCCCGGCCCTGTGATGCCCCAAGCGTGTGGCTTACTGGGAGTGCCCAGGTTTCTCAGGAACTGCCGCTGGCCCTTCCTTTGCGCCCGACTGGCCCGGTAGCCTTGTTCTCCACACGTGCACTCTCTGTCTTTGTCATGGAAGCCTCGAGAGTAGAGGTTTCGAGTGCTTTGCCGAATGGTGAGCAGGTCGCTGGAGCCTTTGCACTTGTGAATCCGAAGCTTGCCTGATGTATCCTCAATGCACTGCCACTTCTGTAAGAGGAAACAGGAAAGCAGGTTAGGGCTTGGCCCCAGGCGCCGTGTATTATATTAGGGCCTGGAACCACCTGGCAGGACCGCTAAAGGGGGCGAGGGAGGAAAGGCAAGCTGGCGAGTACAGAGCTGGGAAGCTGGGAGTCTCAAGTCTCCTAATTATCCTCCATTGCAGGCAAATACAGATGACAATAAAATCAGTAAAAATCAAAACTACCTACATGACATGAGAGCCAGAAGTGATACATAAACCCTCTGCCTCCAAACTAAACAGAGTCGTGAATGGAACATGTAAATGCCCTTAATTCACCGAGCCCCAGCGCGCAGCTGTTGGAGCTGTTTTCTCCAGACCCTTCTTTCTAGAAAAACAAACTCAGCAGCTTTTGTTCTCTGCCTCTGAATTTCTAATGGAAGCCAGGGAACAGTGGCAGATGAAGCGTGAGGTGAGTTTAAGGCGAGGTTCTGGCAGGACGAGCTACCTTTCACGTACCTTGGATCTCTAGGGAGATCTGGTGTTCTAGTGGATACAGAGTTGTGCCAACTCAAAGCCAGGCGGTTCGAATCCACCAGCTGCTCCCCTGGAGAAAGTGAGGCAGTACCCTCCTTTGCAATTTATAATCTCTGAAAGCCCTTTAGAGGGACAGTTATGAATCGGTACCAAAACAACAGCACACAACAACAAAGAATGCCTCTAAGGAGCTCTGGTGGGCTAGCAGATAAGGAGCTGGGCTGCCAGTTTCAAAGCAGGACGTTTGAGTCCACCAGGTTTTGTGCAGAAGGATGTACAATCTTCTCCCTTGTGATTACTGTGAGCAGTTGGCGGATTGAAGCTGCCCACCTTTTGGCTGGCAGTGGAACTCCCTATCCACTAGGCCACAGTCAAGTCTCAGTGAGGAATAAAGAGAATAGAATGTCTTCTGAGTATTTACTCACTGCTTCCTCATCTTCACCCCCCCCGACTAGAGAGCTCTTTTTGGATGGCAATTTTTGAGAAACATTATTGTGGTAAAATATACACAATGCAAATGTTATATACAAATACAACAAAGCTGTTGCCATTTTTACCACTTCGAGTATATAAGTTAAGTGACATTATTGGATTTACCATGTTGCACAATCATCACCACTATTTCCAAAATCTGTTTGGAAGCTTGAAATCTATTCACATCTAAGAATTTTCATCACTCTCAAACAGAAACCCTTTAACCAATAAATACCCTTCCCTCCCTCCCTCCCTCCCTGCCATGGCTTCTGATAACCACAAGTCGCAGGACAATGAGGTGTAATTAAGAAAGAACTGATGAGGAATAAGCAAATTAGTCTCGGAAGAAATGCAACCAAAATGTTTCGTAAAAGCAAAAATAGTGAGACTTTGACTTGCTTCCTTCAGACACCATTAAAGTCAGAGGCAAACCCATCACCAATGAGGAGATTCCGACTCACCGCACCTCTACAGGACAGAGCGAAACCGCCCCACAGGCTCCCAAAGTGGAAAAGACTTCCAGGAGCAGATTTCTTTTTCCAGTGAAGTCTGAATCCCCAACCATTCAGTTAGCAGCCAAGTGCTTAATCTACTGTACCACCAGGGATCCTTGGGCATGACTTTGGGAAATGCTAATTGTTAAGAAAGGATATTTTACGTAGTAAAAAAAGACAGCACTGGCACCCTTTCTGCTGCAATACACACAAGTCCCACAAACTCAGTGAAAACTAATAATTCTCTCTGCTCTCTCTTCGCAGCTTACAGGGTACAGAACTTGGCTAGAAATGGTATCCGGCCTAGTCCGTAGTCCTGCCACTTAATGTGGAGACCAGCTATCTCCAGGCTGAGTTTGGGGTGTCACAACGAACATCCAAACAGTTTCAAGAGGTTCCAGGAAATTCTCCAAAACATTTTCAACAACTGATAAATAACCTTATGCTATAGAGAGTGCTTACTGGTAGACAGTTCCACCAAAATAAACAACTTTCCAAAGCTCCAAAGAGACTGAGAGTAAGTGGTATTTGAAAGCCCAAGGCATTTATATTTGTCTTAAAGATAAATGGTTCGAGGCTTTCCGGCCCCTTGGGGCAGGTCCAGCTCCAGTATTTAAACACTGAGAGCTGACTGTTTAATAACGATCTTCACAACACAGGTGAGATCCATACAGCTCACAGGCAAGAGGAAGCTTACAGAGGACTCTACTTTCTCTCAGAAAAATTGGGCTAGCTTTCTTGAAAACTACTAGCCTTCCATCATTTAATATTCCTATTTTATATCAACTTAGAATACTGATAGCTTATTCCTAAAACAAAAATTAAAAACTGTACAAACTAAAAATGAAAAACCGTAGCAAACATCTTATTTTTATAACCAGGCTTCATTTTAAAAATGTTTCTTTTCTTTTTCTTTAAAAATGTTTCTTTTCTTTTTCTTTCTCTCCTTCCCCCCTCTGCTTTAGAAGAGCTGAGGGTCCAAGCATATTGCTGTGTAGCACAGAGGTGTAGCAGAATTTTTAGTGCCTTTTTGAAATCCAACCTGCATTTTTCCCACTAGCAGAACTCCTCGTTGATTTCCTGTGGGATACAGATGAAGGGAAAGGGTGTTTCCTGTCTAAGAGTCAGATGTAACCACACCCAGGGTTTGGCACTGTCCTTAGAATGAGGCTTGTATCACACAAAATCAAATATACGAGCATGGTTAGAACAGCAAATATGTGCACTGCATAAATACGCATATGTAGGCCAATATTGGATAGTGCAAGAGGCAGTAACAAAGATGCCAATTATTTTCTAGATCATGAACCCTTTGAAAAAGTCACCTCGTCCTATTAGACAAAGTAATTAGCTAGAGGCTTTGAAAGATCATTCGAGCTACAAGCATACCAGCAATTTTAATGAAATGTAATTATCACACATTAGCCACAGCCATTTTCATGTTTGATATCATGACATTTTTTATGGCTGAGCAATAAATAAGCCCCTGAAACAGCTGGGAAGAAAATGGTCATCGTCCTTAGTAGTTTGAGAGAGGGAGAAGAAAGAGAATTTTTAGAGTCTGCAACGTGTGCCCCACGATACGTGGATGGTCCGCGGGAGAAGAGCAGAGGCTCTGGCACTGCAGGAGTGTCTGAGGAATCAGAGGGATGTCGGGCTCTACTGACGTAGCTCCTCGCTGGAAGCAAGTCTGGCCTCAGAAATTGTTTTGTTAGACAAAGGCTTCAGCACAAGTGCCACTGCCACACAGCCTCATTTCCAGAAACTCTCAAATTACTGGAAGATTCATTACTTGCCAAAACTTATCATCCTCATCTTCCCCAAAGGCCACTGCTCACACCCCTTTCCTGGGGATCTGGGAGCTGACCCTACCCATTCTCCTTCCACCTCTGGCTTATTGGTTGCTAACTGAATGGTTACTGGTTCGAGCCCACCAGCAGTTCTCTGGGGGGGGGGCGGGGGGAGAACCAGTGAGACCTGTTCCCATAAAGACAACAATGAACAATGTAGGAGACCCTCCTGGGAATTCTCCTCTGTCCCCTGGGGCTCCCTTGAGTCAGAATTGACCCACGACCGAGGGAACAGCCCATCATTTAGCATCAGCTCCTGCCACAAGTTTGTCTGCACACTGCCTTGGAGCTAAGAGCTAGATCATCACTGTCAGCCTGCTTTTTGACTCCTTGTGACCTCGTGTAGCAGGGTGGAGCTGCCCCATCAGGTTTTCCAGGCTGTACAGCTGTAATTTCTTTTTTAGGTTGTTATCATGTCATTTTAACCTTTCCAGATCCACTGACACTGTCAGTAAAGTCAAAGACCACGTCTCATACTCCTCAGTCGTGCTTAGAAGTTAGCTCAGCACTAGAAATGCTCAGTGTTTGTTTGGTTGTATCTGTTATGTGTCATCGAGTTGATTTTAACTCACAGTGGCATTAGATGACAGAACAGAACTAATCCCTGGGGTCTCCTATGGCATCCAACCACGGCTCCCACAGAACAGCTGGTGGTTTGAATCGATAAACAGAGGAGCACTTAATCAATAGCCACACTACTATGGCTCCTAGTTCTATCGAAATGACAAGAGGCTTTAGTGGCTCGGTGGCAGGACTCTTGCCTTTCATACGGGAGACTCAGGTCCTCTTTAGAAATTGCTTCTGAAAACCAGCCAGAGAAACCCCTACATATCACAACAGGCTGAGTCACCCAGTCATGGGGATGGTGCAGCACCAGGCAGCATGTCTTTGTGTTGCTCATGGGGCCCTTGTGAATTGGGGGCCAGTTAGATGGAGTGTATTTTGTGTTGCACTGCTAACTGGAAGGTCAGCAGTTCAACTCCACCTGCTCTTTGGGAGAAAGATGAGCAGTCTGCTACCCTTAAAGGTCTATAGCCTTTGGAACCCAAGGGTGTGTGTGTGTGTGTGTGTGTGTGTGTGTGTGTGTGTGTGTGTGTGATGGTACTATGAGTCAGAATTGTCTCAACAGCAGCAGTTTTGGGTGAACAACATGTAAATAACCTGTGCTGAAGAAGAGAAGGTAATTAAGTGGATTCAGACCTTATGCGAAGTACAGGTCAAACACCTTTTAAACAATCCCACTCATTATTAACTTTATTCGTAGCAGTTCACCCATGAACTCTTATTTGATACCAGGTACTGGCTGGGCTAGAGAACTTCATATGCATTCCTCGAGTAATTTTCACATTAATGCAGATAGGATTCCGTCTTTAGAATAGGACTTGGCAGTAGTGCATACTACCTATATTCCGCATGGGACATGGGGATGGTATTTTATACCCATTCGTGTGTGGCTCAGAGGAAAAAAGAGTCTTGATTTCCAAGCTGAAAAAGTTTGTATTTGAATTATCAGCATCACACTGCCTTCCTAGGTACACCAAGCAAATCAGTTATTCAATTCAAGTCTTTGCAGGACCCAAAGAATTAGACATAATGTATGTAAAACTCAGCACATGGGAGATGTTCAACATGGGAAACTCTATTATTATTATTATTAGTTTTATTGAACACACA